TAGAAGAACTAATTTATACTCTTTTTAGAATGTTTTGTGAATATGTTTTGGATTCCTTAAAAGTCAAACTGAGGTTATAAAATCTCTAGACTCATTGAGAATGAACTGTTTGGGTCTAGATCCGTTTGGGGACACAACAGTTAACAGCTTCCCTCTGTGCTGCGGACACAGCAGGGCAGTGGAGGACTCTGTCTCCAGGCCTCACCATCTATGCCTGAGTTATGACAGTCAGCTAGTCAGGCTTGCTCTTTGCTGGTCCACTGTTCACAAAGGTATGGAAGTAATATTTTACTAGTCTTCTACTTAAAAGCTATTGGCGATTCCCTCCATAATAACCTCCCAGTTCATAGGCATAGCCTACAGTTCCCCTCCAAGTGCTCACATCTTGGGAGCCTAACCTTTATTCTCCTGGAATAGACTCAGTCCTTTCTCGGTCCCTTCTCTCGGCTTGGTATGTTCTTACTCAATTCTCTTTGCTTCCTCTTCCAGACTCTGCTTTGTGATCTCCTCTGTAAAGTCTTTTCTGACTTTCCGATGCCTCCTTGGTTCTGGCATGGCCCTTGCTGGGTGCCTTTCCTGCATCTCACGTTTAAATGGGAGCATTGTTTCTTAAGCACTGAGAATACGTATTCCCTCTGGCATGGAGACTGTGTCCTCCTTTTTACATCCTTTGGGGGGCAACACAGGGCTGGGCAAGGAGTCCATCTTAAAATGTGAGTCGAACTCAAATAAAATGAGGGAGGCTAAGCCTTTGAACTCTCTGGCAAATTAGTTTTCAGCAAAGGCTTGTGGAAGCTTAGCTAGATTTAGGTAAATGCATATATATCATGCCTTTATGGGTTTCTCAGATTTTGCAGAGGTTTCTGAGAGGAACTCTTTTTATATGTACAAGCGTAATAGCTGTGCCTGTTAAAGAGCATTAAAGAAAAAGCAGCTAGTGGCAATGGCATCAGCTTATTTTCTATTCTTTCTGCAAGTGTGTTATTCTAAGGAAATGCAGAGTGTCATCAGTGGGACTCTCACATTGTTTCACTGTAATTTGATTGAACATAATGACATCAAAACTAACAAACCTGCCACATGGTGACAAAATGTCACTTAGCAAAATTTGATGCTCATAAATATAGGAAAAGTGTACCCCTTTTGGTATGAGTAGTTTCCTTATTAAAAAAATAAGCTGGGAAAAAGGAGAATAATGCTTTAAGAGGATGTTGCCAAATGGGTAAAACAGAGCTAGTGTTTATTTTTAGTCTATCAATGCTAGCATTCTTAGGGGATGAACAGGTAATGCTTTTAGCCGGCCCCTCATAAAATTCTGAATTCAGTATTTTGTTATTTTTTATGGCTTTGTACAGCCATGTGATTTGAGTGTGGTTTAACTGGATTATTCATCTGCAGCAAGAGTGACTGGTACCCAGAGCCTTGGCTGCTGGCTGGAAGTTGTGTCCTTGTCATTTCTTCCTGGGGACCAGGCCCCGGCTGAATGCTTCCCTTCTTGGTGTTTATTTTCAACCTGATAGAGTGTAAGACCTGTGAGGGTCTTATTTCATGATGATTTTATTGAACATAATGGCATCACATTTAACAAATCTGCCAGGGGCTGACCACATACCGTTCAGCAAAATGTTGATCTCCATAAATGGGCGAATTTTCATTTCCCTCTAACAAAACGTACGATTCTCAAGGGTAGTGAATTCCGTCGGTTTTAGCAGAGTTGGTGTATCTTAAGCATTTAATGTGGTCCCTGGTATAAAAATATTAGTCGAAAGGATGAGTAAATGAAGCCCTGTGGGCTTGGAGCTGGTCCCCGTCCACACAGAAACTGGTGCCGTTTGAGTTTCTATGGCATTTAAAATAGCAGCTCTGTCCTCAAGTTCTAAGCTGAAGGCTTGGTTCCTAGGAAAGAAATCCTGGCATCCATCAGATGGGCGTTGTATTTTGGTGCCCTGAATTCACTGTCAAGGTCACTTATCTCCGTTTTTAGAGGAAAGCCTTGGTAGACGGTGCTCCCCAGGCTCAGAAATACCACGCCCTTGTGTGCGCACATACCCTAGGAAGAAGTTTGGGGGAAAGATTTTATAAATCCTCTTTTCCGGGCTACATGTGCTTCCTGGCACAATGCTGCCCTTTCTCTTTCCTCAGCAGCATGGAGTTAAGCCTTCTCTAAGACAGTTTCCACCTTCTGTTGAAAGTAGTGTTAGGGGCGCCCCTGAATGGCTTGGTCAGTTAAGCGGCGGCCTTTGGCTCCGTTCATGATCCCGGGGTGCTGGGATCCGGTCCCACACCCAGCTCCCCACTTAGTGGGGGTCCTGCTTCTTCCTCTCCTCCCTGCTGTGCTATCTCTTCACTATCTCTGTCTTTATCTCTCTCAAATAAATAAAATTAAAAAAAAAATGTTAAAAAAAAGATAGTAAAGTGTTAGGGAACCGGCTCCCACACCTCAGTTCAGGCTCTCACTGCCCCATTGAGGGCAGCCTTTTGGAGTTCTGGTGATGAGTGCCGGAGTGTGGCCTGGGATGTCACAAGAAGCTTTCCCCCATGTATTCTTTTTGGTTTGGGATGCGGGGTACATTCCACCTTCGGGAGTGGGTACGGTCCAGACTTCCTTCTTGGTTTTTCTTAAGACCAACATCGGGCAGCCGGGGGAAAGGAGTGATTTTTGAGGTTATGCCCGAACTGGGGCATGGCTGGTTGGAATACAAGGGTTTCAGCCACAGCGTGGGTGCTTGTTGGAGAAGATGCCGTGCACTTGCTCTGCGGTTTGGGATATCTATAAACCTTTGTGATCCACGTGTTTACATTTTTTTTAATTGTTTTGGGAAATAGGATGAGGTGTAGTACTCAAAGGACGGACTGCGGTTTAGAAATCCAGGCTTATAGAACTCATTGGTTTTTTTTAGTTTTTTAGTTCCAGCTCACAGACATAGAGATGTCCTGTCCTGTCTCAGTGTGAGACATGGGTCAGAAGATCCGAGTTCCAGGCTTCTGGAGCTGGCTAGCTGGGTGCCCGGGGCACGTCACACTTCACCTGTCCCAGCTACGCTTTCTCAACCCTGTTCATTGGGAAGGTGATACTGACTGACCCCTCCAGTTTTGTTTTGTTTTGTTTTGTTTTTTAAGATTTATTTATTTCACAGAAAAAAGAGAGAGAATAAGCAGAAGGGGCCAGGAGAGGGACAATCTCAAGCAGACTCCACTCTGAACACGGAGCCCGACATGGGGCTCGACGCGGGGCTTGATCTCACGACCCCGAGCTCACAACCTGAGGTGAAACCAGGTGTTGGACGCTTAGCCGACTGGGCCACCCAGGCGCCCCTACAACTTACAACAAGACCAGACATGAAGAAAACATAAAAACCATGTGAGATAGTATCGTCCTAAAGGCCGTGTGTCTCACTTCTTTTCTGACGGAAAGGAAAATTATAATTGTGTTTTGCTGCTGCTGCTCTTTTTCTTCTTTGAGCTGGCAAAAAGCATGGAACCGAATGTATAGGGTGCTTTTCGTAAGGACTTCATGACTTTCATTTGTGCAGTAGCCTCCCGTCTCCATCTGTTTTCCGTCTCTGTCTTTGTTTTCCCTTTGCTCTTCTTTCTAATTTATGCCTTCTGGCTGGATGACAGGTACTTGATGTAAGAAGCCTTAAATTCTTTTGGAACAAGTAATTAGATGATGAACCAGGCAAACAAATAAATATTTCTGCATCAATTCCCCTTCCTCTCCACTAAGGTTTAGGGTACGGATGGACAGCGGGCCTCTCCCTCTGTGTGGCACTCAGCTCTGGGCACTACTGTTTTCTCCACAATGCTGGCCCAAGTGTGAATGCTCCTTTCTTTCAGGGACTGCTTCTTGGGAGAGGAGATAAATTTTGTCAACTTCTTGACTAAAAAAACTTTTAATTCTTAGCTGATATCATTTAGAATAATGGGTTTTTTAAGAAGATTTTATTTATTTATTTTAGAGAGAGAGAAAGCATGAGCGGGAGGGGCAGAGGGAGAGGGAGAGAGAGAGAGCATCTCAGGCAGACTCCATGCTAAGTGGGGAACCCAATACGGGGTTGGATCCCAGGACCCTGAGATCAGGACCTGCCCTGAAACTGAGAGTCGGACACTTAACCAACTGTGCCACCCAGGTACCCCTAGAATTGACAGTTTTTATAGGAAAAATGTGGACAGTCTTTATTTGTGTCAAAATTGGTCATTTGTAATGAACAAAGTTTTCCTCTACAACGTCAGGGTGTGTTTAAACTAAGGAAAGTATTTTGTTGCTTCAAGACTGGTTCTTACACAGGTGTATTTTTCATCATCCTTTAGAGTGCTCCTGTTTGGGACAAAGTTCTGGGTCCTATCCAGAAATGAGAAATAGAGACAGGGCCCTGTGGAGCGAATGTTAGTATTTTCCCCCCAAATGTTAACATTTTAAATCATGTTAATATTTTATTATAAGTTTACTTCACTTGCATTTCTGTGGTACTACATTGTAAATAACTTTTTGAGTGTGATTTTGTTGTAAAAAAATCACATTGGTGTAAACATTCTTTTAATAGGTAATTTTATTAGCTTGCACTTACTCTCTAAATTGACAGTATGGTACAAATGGGTGATCTGTAAACAAGATATAAATGATCGATTGGTCAATAGCAAAGTACTGGTCAGTGTGGGACGCAAACCCTGTCCTTGTTTCCTGAGCAGTGCTAAGTGCGAGTCTCAGGGAGCATAGGTAATCTGTGTTTTCTTTGTCTACTCCTTTACCTGAAACACACAGGAAGTTGATGGGATGCAATATTACCAAGTATTTTATAGTCTTTGAACTGTATCAGTGTGATAGTGTAAATGCTTCCCACAGTTAGAATATATTTCTCATTTTGGCTCTCTGAATTTAATATATAGAGCTCATGAGAGCTTTCTGGCAAAAAATGTCCCCAATGTTTATTCTACAGTGTTCTACTGTACTGATGAATATGTTTTTTGTTAATTAAACAGAACTTACTTTCTTTTTTCAGTTCTATCAGGAGGTCCATTGCCTCAAGGGCATGAATTTGAACTGTATGAAGTTAGATTTCATTGGGGGAGAGAAAACCAGCGTGGTTCTGAGCACACAGTTAATTTCAAAGCTTTTCCCATGGAGGTAAGAATAACAAATCATCTTGTAAAACTCTTACTGTTTATGTAAAATATTCAGCGACTTACTGAGAATGGTTGAGTTTAGAAGTAGGTGTATACCATTTAAATTTTATCAATCTATAGTAAAATAACAAAGTGCTTAAGAAAGTGTATGCTTGGGTGGCAAATTGCATTTACCATCGACTTTGGTGAGCGTGGAGAGTGCACACGGGTGATTGGCCATAAAGGTAATCTACACTATTAAGTTTCATTTCAGTATTGTTACTGTTCTAAATATTCTGCTGCCTCTGCAAATTCAGTAAGTCATTTTTGTAGATGCTACAAATAGATGATAAACTGAAAACCAGCAAAGTTAGAGAAACCTCAACATTAGTCAAAAGTCTGGTTAAAATTGATAAGTTGGATTTATTCACCCCAGGCAATTAGAGAGAGAGAGATTTTTAGAGAGTCATTCTTTTGTCTAAAGAATTCCCTCTTTACTTCCCTTAGTCAATTCCTACTCTTTCTTCACGACCTAGTTGAAGTATCATTTCTTCCATGGGACTTTTTCTGAGTCCCTTTCCTAAGCAGAATACATTGCTTCCTCTTCTGTGTGCCCAGTGTACTTGACAGATTGTTGCCATGGCACTCATTGACTGTAAACTCTACTGTCTGCGGTGTCTTTCTCACTGATTCCGTGGGCTCCTCCTATGGACCAAAGCGTTGGTGCCTTCACCCACCCCTAAGTTGCATGTTGAATATGATGGAATTAGGTGGTGGGGCCTTTGGGATGTAATTAGGGTTAGATGAGGTCACTAGGGTGGAGTCCTCATGAATGGAATTAGTGTCCTTATAAGAGTCCAGAGAGAGCTTTCTCTTCCCTGCTCAATTGCCATGTTAGGGCAGACAAGAAGATGGCTGCCTACAATCCAGGAAGTGGGTCCTCACCAGACGTCTGTTCTGCCAGCCTCTTGATCTTGGATCGTTCAACCTCCAGAACTGTGAGAAATAAATGTTGTGAAAGCCACTCCAGTGGTGGTCATTTGTTGTAACGACTCAACGTTGACTAAGACAGTTCCTGAAGAAAAGTCTCCCTCTCCTCTTCTCTTTACATCCGTCATTTGGTCCACTGCTGGATACATCAGAGACAGCCCATGTTGGTGAACTTCAGACAATGTTGCTGTTGGTCCAGGTCTTGTTTCTGTGTTTTCCTGTAAGGCCCCAGATGTCTGCAGGAAACAGCATGTCGGTGGCATGTAACAGTATTTGGAGGCCACTGGAGTGCCAGTCTTCCTTCTCTGTTGTTGCCAACTGCCCGTACCTTTAGGTATGGAATTGAACATGGCTAGATTCTGTGTCTAGTCCCACCTCAGTGGCTGGAAATCACTGCTGTATCATTCCTATTAGTGATACATCTACTTCACAGAATCAAGGTAGAGGAAGTATTTCTTTATATTACTTTACATATTACTTTAATTATAATTTTTAAAAAGTGCCTTAGGAATCTTAGGATATGCCGTTCATTAAAAAAGACTCAAATGCCTTTTTTTTTTTTTTAAAGATTTTACTTATTTATTTGAGAGAGAAGAGAGCATGAACGGGGGCAAGGGAGAAGCAGGCTCCCCATTGAGGAGGGAGCCTGAGGTGGGACTCGATCCCAGGATTCTGGGATCATGACCTGAACTGAAGGCAGCTGCTTAACTGACTAAGCCACCCAGGCACCTCAAGACTTGAGTCTTAAAAGTGAAATATTAAAGTGTTTGAAGGAGGGAGGTGAAGGGGAAATGGTTGCAGTAAGCTGGGGACCACCTGAGTATGTGACTGTGGCCTTGTGACTGTGACTAAGACCTTGGGGGGGGCACCTGGGTGGCTCAGTGGGTTGGGCCTCTGCCTTCAGCTCAGGTCATGATCTCAGGATCCTGGGATTGAGTCCCATATGGGGCTCTCTGTTCAGCAGGGAGCCTGATTTCCTCTCTCTCTCTCTGCCTGCTTCTGATCTCTGTCTGTCAAATGAATAAATAAAATCTTTAAAAAAAAAAAAAAGACCTTGACGGGGAAGGTCAGGTCTTTATTTGTTACCATCCTAGGGACTTTTTTTTGTCAGTACCTACAGATATCGTCTCCCTTCTGCTGCCTGAATATGGTTCTGCCCTGTCTCTGTGTCACATCTGGCTACTGCACTGTCCTCACCCGCCCTGAGAAGGAAAAGCACACACCAGGAGGCATCAGAGAGGAAAGGGGACACAAAACAGTCCAAAACAGCTGGACCTGCAGGGTAGTGAGGGCAGAGTCAGGGGCTGGGAGACACAGACGGGCAGCGCTGCTTTGGGTTTGAAGGACTGTTTCATCATTTTCTCTCAAACAGTCTTCAAAGACCTACTTGTACTATAAAAAATTTGGGGAGAGATGGGAGTAATTAGACAGGCAACAACTTCCGGATGAGAATTTAGCGGCGCTGCTTGCAACACGCAGAATTTACAGCTTTGGGAACGCTTAATTAGATTAAGCGAGTCAGTGGTCTGTGCTTTTTGCTCTGTGGTCAAATAGAATTTCCAGACCACATGTTCAGACTGGTCCTGTTACTTGGTGGCATTTTAACTGCTCTGGTCCATTAAACACAGGTAATGGTTTGTTTTGAGTGAAGATGAAATTCTGATAGGCTTTGTTTCTGCAGAAATATTTATATTTGGGATAATGGAATTACTGGCTGTAATTTTTCCAAAATAGGTGATGAATAATATTTATACTCTTTGTTATCCCAGATTATCTCTGATTCAGTCCTAGAGAAAATACTTGTATCCTCAGCTGATGTTTGTTTAGTGCTCTGTCCCACTGAGTTGCATAAATGTAGGGGCTGTGCAGAAGTAGAGGGAGCGATCTATAGGCCACGTTTTTTTTCCATTTTATTTTGTTTTGCTTTGTTTTAATGGAGGCTGTGAATACTGAGCTGGGTTTTATTTTTTTTAAAGATTTTGTTATTAGAGTGAGCGAGAGAGAGCATGAGCAGTGGGGAGGGGCAGAGAGAGAGGGAGAAGCAGGCTCCCCACTGAGCGCAGAGCCCAATGCAGGGCTCACTTCCAGGACCCTGAGATCATGATGTGAGCTGAAAGCAGACATTTAACCGACTGAGCCACCCAGGCACCCCTCAGCTGGGTTTTAAGGAGGAGAGGATTCACAGCGTGTGCTGAAAGAGAGAAGAGATAGACGCAATGTAGAATAAGTCCAGGAGGGAATGAGAAGGCTAACATGGAGATAGGTAGGTAACTTGCCACTGGTGGTCTGGCCTTGAATTGCCCTCAAGGGCCACCTTAGAGACAAGGGCCACCTTGCCAATAGAATAGTGGAGAGAGAGGGGATCAGGTAGGTACCTTCTTGGGTATGTGATTTAAAAAGTTTTAAGACCTTTTCCATCTTTTATTTACATTTCAGGACTAATTTTAATTTCTAAATTGCATATGTATACATAATTTGTTTTTAAGGATTTATTTGTTTATTTGAGGGAGGAGGGGCAGAGGAAGAGAGACTCTTAAGCAGACTCCATGCTGAGCGTGGAGCCCGGTGCTGGCTCAGTTCCGCCTTCCTGAGATTATGACCTGAGCCGAAACCAAGAGTCAGAAACTCAACCGGTTGGGCCACCCAGGCGCCCCAACAGATTTCATTTGTATCAGTTTCACTTAAACTTAAATGGATGGCTTACTAAATACTATAAACAAATATTCATCATGTCCATTGCGTGTAACACAGGAATGGCTTTTACCAGAAATTCATCAACCTCCCTCAACTGTTTAAAATTATAAATACAGTAAAAACAATCCAGAATATATTTTTGATACTACTAGTAGCCAGCACCCACATCATTTAAAAAATTAGCAGTTTGTGATTTTAAACAATTTAAATGGCAACCCCTTTGCTAAGCAAGATGGATAAAGCAGGCCATTTCTGCTTTTTCTTCTTGCAGTTTTCGGTTTTGAGAAACACCTGAGTTTCCATGGCATCTGACATTCTCACTGTGCTTTCATCCTCTAAACCTGAATTCTATTATTAATACTGCAGGTTTATGCTTACATGACAGCACCTTAGCAAGAGAAAAACAAATTGTACTGCGTTTTTCTTCCTGTTACCTGAAAGCCTAATGGGCGTGCATGTATTAACTATATTCTTACAAACGTCTACCAGCTGGAATTCTTTCACTGAGTGTGTGGATATTTTGCATCCTGATGTTTAATCAAGAAAGCAACAGGAGTAGAAGGTTGTTGATTTAAGAGAAATCTGAGATCCAATCAAATTAATTCCTGTGTGTTTGTCCTCCTGGTGGCCGCAGAAGCTTCACATTTTCTTTGGGTATCATTAGATATGACAGCTCTTGTAGTCCTAGTTCAATGCTCTATGAATTTTGCCATTTTTCTCCCACTGGTATGCTCCTTGCATCCACCATACCACTGAAATTATTTACTCCATTTCTGTTTAATTTTTGTTACAAATCTAACTGATAGAAGAATTTCTGAGTATTTATGTTCACATTCAACTTTTCAGGCTGTATATTCTGTTTCTGTCACTTGTCTGAGAAGACTGTCATCAGCTTCTTTGTGACTTGGAGGTAGCCTAACTTTGTGGTCTGTATAACTCTTGGAAATTATGATTAATCTTTATACATGAATTGCTACTTTCATACTTATATGGAAGAGTGCTTCACAGGCATTTAGATTTTATGTGGGAGCAATAAAATAAAAAAAAATATTAGGGGTGCCTGGGTGGCTCAGTTGGTTAAGCATCAGACTCTTGATTTCGGCTCAAGTCATGACCTTGGGGTTGTGGGATTGAACCCCAGGTTGGGCTCTGTGCTTAGCACTGAGTCTGCTTGGGTTTCTCCCCCCCCCAATAAATAAATCTTTAAAAAAAAATCAGAGGATGGGGAAACCAGTAGTGTGGCCAAGTTTTATTTTTTCCGAATAAGAACATATGAACTGTGCTGTCCCCATCATTTTATAGAGAGATCATCTTTACTAGCTAACTGTAGGAAGGATA